CGGCGGGCCCGCGCTCCCCGGCCGGGCGGCGGAGCCAGAGCCCGCGGCCGGCACAGCGCGGGGAGCGGAAGCTCGCTTGGCCGATCCGCTGCCCCCGGCCCAGCCGCGCAGCAGCAGGCGAGTGCGTGCGGCCGGGCAAGGGCAGGGGCATTCACTGCATTCATTCGGGGCCCACTGGTGTCCTTCGGAACCACCGAGGCCCATCTACACATAGACACGTCGCCATAAGGAGCCATCAAATAAGAGACGCCGTGAAATAAAAGAATAGCACCATTAAAAAAAAAGGATGAAATGAAGCCCCCCAAGGGAAGCACGTGGCCCAGCGGCTGTGCGCGGAGCGCAGGGCCCGGGAGCACCGCACTCCGGGCTGTTCCGCGCGGCTCCGCGTGTGCCCTGCCTGCGCGCTGCGCCCGCACGCGTTTAGGCAGGACGAGCAGGGCCGGGTGCGTGAGCCCCGCACGGCTGCCCTGAGGCTTTATTCCCTAGCCAGGCCTATTTATTATTGTGATTGAATTTGTGGCTCTTCAAGCCGGGGGCCTGCTGCCCCGGCGGAGACGTGACAGTCTGAAGGGATCTCGACCGACCCCCACGCCGGGCTGGGGACCGATCCCGCCGCCTGCTTTTCCGGCTCGCCTCTCGCCCAGGGAGCCGGCTTCAGACGGCGAGGAGCGCGGCTCCCCCGCCCCCAGCCCCCTCCGAGATCAGGTAGAGGGGCTCAGCTCCCTGGAGAGACCCACATCTGCTTAAAATATTGTCCAATGAAATGAAATTCTACAGCAGAGCCTGCTTTTAATATACTCCGCACTACCGCCCTGCCCGGCGCGCTCCGCCGCCTTCCCGCAGGAGCCGGGCGCGGGGACAAATCCAAGCCCGCGTTAACAGACGAGGAGCGGGCACATGGGCGTGTGCGGGGAGCTCCGTGCGGGGGCTTCCTGCTGCAGCCCTCTGGACTCCATACAGAGATGCACGCACCCGGCGCCGGGTTTAATCTGTTTTGCAAATACATCCTCCCGGGAGAGGGAAACCTTAGCTTTGGGCTACTGTTTTGAACTGTGATCCCTAAAAAATCCTCGCCTGAAACCCCATAAACCGTTGGGCCTTGTATTGTATTAAACACCTGATTTTAATCAGGGCTCAGCCTTCCAAGGAGACACTCCCAGCCTGCTGCAGCGGGGCGAGCCCAGCGTTTTCCCTGCAGCTCCTAGGGCAGCAGCGGAGTCGCCGTTCCCAGCTGGAGAAAGTCCCAGCTCTCCCTCCCGAGCACGGCAGACCCAGGCACTGGAAAACCTCTTAGCCCTTAAGCTTCAGCGGCTTACTTACCGCTCCCCGACCCCAGCAGCTGGGGGGTGGGGGGCAGCGAGGCGGAGGGCGCGTGTGACACACACACACGGCTCCCGCGCCCTGGAAAGGGGTGCGGTGCATTGCACAGCTGGACGCACGTGTGTACCTGCGACAGACACGGACTAGAGGTGACCTGGGCCGGGTGTGTGCACAGGCGCTCCCCGCCGCAGCTGCTCCCCACAAGGCGGGGAAGAATTACCCCAACCTGGGCCGCAGGGCAAGGCCCAAAGCAACCTTCCTCCCCCGGCTGAATAATAATAACAACGATAACAGCAAATCTAAGGACGATAACCGCAGCAGTAATAATAACAACAGCATTAATAATGTTGGCATTTTCAGGAGGATTATTATTAATGACATTAAGTCGTAGTGTGAGTCTGATTATTATTGTTGCTGCTGCTGTGTGGATGGGGCATGTCTTCCCGCTGTTTATTGCAAACCGAGCTGCTCGTGTGACCTGGAAGGCGAGTTCCCCGCTGCCACACGTGTGCTGCCCAGGTGGGTCCCCCTCGAGGCCGCGGGGTCCTGCGGCCGGGCCGGCGTTTTTAAAAAGAAATGCAGCAAACACAAAGGCGCAACCCGGCCAGGCGGGTCACTTTGCAGCGAGTCCCCCTTTTCCAGAGCTCAAACGGAAGCAAACAAGCAAAACCCCTCTTGGAATAAGGCGCTTGGCTTCGGGGCTTTGGGGGGTTGTTTTGTTTTGTTTTGAAGGCTGGTCGCGGAGCTGCACGGCTCTTTCGGATGAGCTGGGACAACACTTGGAAAAGCGTTTCCCTCCTAAGCAGGGGGGAAAGCCACCGTCCAGCTGAAGGTGGGGCCTGGGCCAGAGAGACCGTCCAAAATGCCAGCTGACCTTCAGGAGCAACGAGGCGACGTAAGAACACGCTTGGATTACAAAATACACCCCTGGAAGCCAGAGCCGGGTCGTGTGTGCGCCTCCCTTGCGTGCCCCTGGGCTCCATTCAAGTTTGAAACTACCCCCCCCCCCCAACTCCTCCTCCAAGAAAACATTTCAACCCTAAAGTCCGAGTTTTCTGGCCTCTGCTCGCGCCTGGTCCTGCCAGGCTCTGCAGCCTCTTCCCCGCACTTCAGAGCCGAAGTCACCTTTCCCCTCCTTACCTGAACAGCGCTCTCACCTTGGAGCTGCCATGCCCTACGTTACAAAGCTATCTGCAAGGCCGAGGCGAGGGGGCCGCTCGGCTTCCAGCGCTCCCTGCCCCCTCCGAGCACCAACGCGTCAAACTACTCCCGCGAGCTGGGGGCGAGGGCGCACGCAGCATCCCGCCGCCGCTCCTGGGAACCAGCCGCCCGGCTCTTACCGGACAGTTTTGAGGAAGGAGCTTGCAAGTCTCCACATATTTTGCACAAAGCCGGAGTGAAACAGAAACTAAAATCAACAACAAAAAAAAGTGGGACATTTGACACACACAGCTGGGCGCCTAAATCCCCTAGTGCAGGAAACCTCCGCCGGGCAGCACAGCAGGGGCTGGCAGCAGGACTCTGCCGGGGGGAGGGGGGAAGGGAGAAGGGGGATGCCCGGGGTGGTAGCGCAGAAGCCAAACGCAGACAAACTCCGTTAAAAACGGACGGACGGATAGGGGGAAGGTCCCGCAGAGGGGATGAGTCCGCCGCAAGCCTGGGGGCTGCCAGTCCGGGGCAGATACAAGGCAAAGAACAGTAAAGAAAGGTGCACCCACCCAGCAAA